CTTTTCCCCTAACAGACCTGAAATGTGAGCTGTCTCTTTGATCAGCCTGATTAAACTGTAATTTGATCATGCTTCTTAAGAATGTACTTTGTCTTACAGCAGCTTTATGTAAAGACGTTGAATCTAGATCTAGATATATAACCACACAGTCCATTTAACTTTGTGGTTTGGGGAGGAGGGGCTCTACCCATATTGCCACAGTGGATTTCCAGGCATGGCATACATGTCTGAAAGCTGAAAATCTCCAGAGGAGATGTTGCCCTCTTTTTCTAGCAGGTAGTTGTAGTTCTGTGACAAAAAGAAATCCAGCAGATGAAGCTTTCCCTAAATGGTAGATGCTTCGATAGACTAATCTGTTGAGTTTATGCTTCCCATGCAACTGTTAATGACAGACAGTGCGAATCAGGAACTGGCTCTGCAAAGCAAGAGGGGTGTGGAAAGCATGCAGGAAAGAGCTTGGAAAAGGCAAGAAGAGGACAAAGTGCACAAGGCAAAGATCTTTCTTACCTGCCTCTGTATCCCCACCCTCTCAACTCAGAAAAACAGGAAAGATGGGAGAATCATAAGATCATGTTATCGTTGCATGGAAGTAGGCTACACTTTTTCCTGTTTTATTGATTTGACTGAAGAGAGCGATCTTTGTTATTTTTGACACAATCTCCTTTAAGTACAAAATAGTGTTGTTCTGTTTATGTGCTCAGTCATCCTAGAATGAACTAAAGGTGGGGCTTCCTGGGAAAACTAGTCCTCTTTGCCATTGGACTGGGGTATGGTTTCCTTACAGTTATACTAATTCCTGTGTTAATATACTAATTATGATTTTTTCATAGCTTGCCAAAAATGCATCCGTTGAATTAATGCATCATTGCTAATACCCCAGGATATTAGGCTGGATCCAACAGGGGCCTTCCATTCACGTAAGAATTTTAGTGTTCACAGAAAATATCACTGGATCCAACCCAACTGCACTGGTGTAGCAGCTTCCGTCACTGTGTCCATGATGAATTAATTCTTTCCCTCAGATCAGCAAAGCCAGTACTAATGCAAGAAAGTCTAAAGGACGTGTTACTGGAGCAACAGGTGCATTTGCTGCCTATTACATCTTAAGAGCCTTTCAGAACTCTGAAAACAGGTGATCTGGGAGTGTTCTATACACTCAATATGGCCCCATTGATGGATACTTAAATCCTGGGACTGGAGCCATGACAAGATAAGACAGATGTTTCTACAACCGGGAAAAAAATCCCAGGTTTGCAGAAAAATCTGACATCTAAAAAAAAGCAACCGGGGGGGGGGTTTAACCCTTCTCAAAATTATAGAAGTAATACCATTAAGACACGTTTCGAAAGCTATTGTTGTAGTTGCTAGGCAACTACAACAATATTGTCAGCCTTCAAACCTAGGTGTTTGTAGTAAAAGGCAGGGAGGAAGGCTATTTCCAGGGCTGTTTTGACCTACCAGTCCACCCCTGCTCCTTTCCCTTCTCCCCTGGATGAAGGACTCATTGGGGCAAGGCCCAGCAATAACCATCAGGCAATTTGCTACCATGAAATTTCTTCAACTCACCCAGGGGGAGCTGTGCCACAGATGACATCATGCCACACAACTACCCAGGTCCTGGTAGCAACCTCCACACAATTTGTGCAACTTGACAGGGCCCAGCAGTAGCCATCACACAACTTTGCCAGACTTTTCCCAGGGGCAAGCTGCCAGGGGGAGGGAGGGAGGGAAAGCTGAGAGCCAGTGTGGTGTAGTGGTTAGAGTGTAAGACTAGGATCTGGGAGACCGAGGTTCAAATCCCCACTCTGCCATGTAGGGTTCCCAAGTACTTACCGCGATCCGGCGGGGAAAACATGCTCCCCGGCCGGACCATTCCTCCCTGTAACACACCATGCCATCTCCAGGAAGTGACGCTGGGCGACGCTCTGGCAATGGGGTTGAAAACTCAAGTTTCCAGCCCCATTGCCAGAGCATCGCCTGGCATCACTTCTTGGCGACGGCATGGTGCGGCACATCTGTTGTCCCCGCGGGAATGATCCTGCGAATCACGGTAAGTACTTGGGAAGCCTGCTGCCATGGAAGCTTGCCAGGTGACCTTGGACCAATTACTCTCAACCTATTCTACTTCACACAGTTGTTGTGAGGATAAAATGGAGAAAAGGATAATGATGTAAATTGCTTTTGTTCCTCATTGGGGGAAAAGGTAGGGTATAAATGAAGTACATAAATAATAAAGGTGAAGATGGGGTGGTAGATAAATGGAAGGTTGGTTGGTTAGCAGGAAGGAGAGAAGGAAGTGGGGAAAAGGAGGAGGATATAGGGCTGCCAGGAGGGGAAAAGAGGGACATTGTGTGGGAAAGGGAATATACGGGGAAATGAAGTGACCCTCATAAGTCCTTATGGGTTCCCTGATTGCTTTTTTTATAATAGTAGGTGCCATGCAATGTGGTGCCTATTTGTAACATTAGTGAAACTATTGGTAGACTTTTCTCTGCTTGTTGTTAGTAAATTCTACTTTGTCATCAAAAGTCAATTTAGCACAACTGCAGTTATGGACATGTGTACAGTCAGGTAACCAACAGTACACAGTTTGTACCGCTTGTATTATTGGTGATATGGTGTGCATAAATAAAAATTATTTTATTGGTTGTGGCCTGCAATATTTTAAAGATGGATAAACTACTGCTTTTGGAATAGACAAAATGTATGCTTTGTTTATTACTTTTTCAGCCCACCCTTTCTTTCAATATGATTGTCAATTCCAACATGGAAATTCCTGGAAATATGAGGGTGGTGTCTGGGATGGTGGAGACTGGGAAGGGATGGGAGCTCAGTGGGGATACGATGCCCTAGAGTCTGTTCTCGGAAGCTGCCACTTCCTCCAAGGGAACTGATCTCTGTAATCTGGTGATCAATTGTAACTTCAGGCCCCACCTGGAGGTTGGTAACCTTATCTTACAAGGAGCTCGAGTCAATGTAGATGGTTACTCCCTTCTTTATTTCATTGTCCTTACAACAATTGTGTGGTGTAGACTAGGCTGAGAGAAAATCACAGGCCAAAAATCATCCAGTAAATTAATGGCAAATGAGTATTTGAATATGGATCTCACTCCTGTCCAACATTCCAAGCACTGTTCTTCACACAAGAACCTCAACTGAATTCTGAACCAATTAAGCTTGTAAATAGTAAAGCTGTAATATCTTGTCTGTTTATAATAGTAAATTGTTTTAAGAGTACTGTGAGGTCCTTGCTTATAGGGGAAACGGTTTTACCTTTAAACACTCTCTGAGTACATAAACGTGGTAGTTTTATGCTGCCACCAGGAATTAAAAATTCCAAATCTCTCTCTTTTGGTAGTATGACCTAGGGTCTGGGCACTTCAGAGGACTATGTGGCCCTGATGAAGTACTGTACTGATTTCTGGGATAAGTTTAAACAAAAACGATTTATTTAATAAAGAACAAAATAGGTTTCTGGTTATTTTGAACAGCTGCTGAAGAAAGGAACTTGTAAATATAACTGGCAAAGCTTGGTGTTACAGTCTCTCAAACTCCAAACTCCACTCTGACAGACTTATACATTCAGTATAATCTCTCTCTATCTCATATATATAGATAGAGCCACACAGGCTAGTCATTTTGTTTTATTCACACAGAATGGAATCAACTTTCTTAGTCACACAGAATAAACTGTTGGTCTTATTCACACAGAATTAGACTCAAAATTCCATAGTCCCACAGACTATGTTCTCTCTTCAGACTTTACACAATAGGAGGCCTGGGTCAAATCTTCTCATAGACACACACACAGAATCCTCTCAGACCCCCCTCCTCCCACACTCTCAGTCAGCAGCCAATCAAATCACACTTGTCACCCTCTATCAGTCTTCTCATATTACTGCATTCAAAGTAAACATTTAAAGGAACACACACATCAAAACATGGAATCATTACAAGTACTCTACAGGGTACTGTCTCATTATAATCTTTAAGTCTGTGGGTTTAACTTTTCTGTGTATTTTCCTGTATTTCCTGAATGCTGAAAAAAATACTGGAGTTATAAAACAGAGTGTAATGTCTGTCTTCAGTCTTACTGATTAAAGATACTTATTATTATATTATTGATGCAACAAAATGGGGAAAGATCTGGAATAATACTAGGTGGCTAAAAGCAGTAGCTTTGAAAGAAAATGTATTTAAGGTGATACACCGATGGTATATGCCACCTGAAAGATTGGCCCGAGCGTATGAGGGCCTGGATGCCAGATGTTGGAAGTGTAAAGTACAGACAGGTTCATATTATCATGTATGGTGGGCTTGTAGGGAGGTTAATAAATACTGGAAAGAGGTCCAAACTATGCTGTATCAGATAATTAAGAAGCCAATACCGTTAAACCCAGAGGTGTTCCTACTAAATATATATCCGGACAATTGGAAGAAAAAAGAAAAATACTTAATTTTGCATATTTTAACGGCTGCGAGGATTCTACTCGCGAAGGGCTGGAAGATGGACCAGGTACCAACGAAAGGGGACTTGATTAGTAAAATAATCGATGTAGCCGAAATGGACAACTTAACCCAAAAGGTCAATGGGAACTTGAATAATGTATTTCATAATGTTTGGGCACCAGTTTATAGATGGCTGGAACATGAGATGACAATCTACAATGGGACGAGCTCTGTATATGTGGGGTGTGTGGAAATGGGTTTGTATTATATGTGGAGTAAGATGGTGGGGGGTTGGAAGGATGTTATTATGTTGATGTGTTGTTTTGTGCAATGTATGATGTTATGTTGTGTTGTTTTGTATATAATATGTGTTGAAAAATAAAAAAAAAAATTTAAAAAAAAAAGTAACACCCTTCTCTTTTGTGGCAATATCTTGTGACGGATCTAAATGGGGCTTCCTTTAATCTTTACTTATATACAGCCTTCATTCTGGATAACTTGAGAAGTAAATGCTCTTTTAATGCTTCCCAATATTTCCCATTTATAGGTAGTTTTTAGATGGTGGAAAATTTCTCTTCGAAGTGAATTTCGTGAAGCAAGACCTGGAGAACTCAAAGAATCCCATGAGGACTTTTTGGATGACCCTTCTCTCCAAAGTAAGATATGGGAACATAATCTGATGGGTATTAAGAGATCTTGATTGCATTTTGATGATCCATGAAGATGTAATGCATCTGTAATGATCAGATACCTGTTTCCTGATAAAAGATGACAGCTAATAGAAACACTAATAATCTGGCTTTGTTCCATCAATTAGATTTGTTTTTACTGTTTCCAGTTTAAGAAGTACCCACTATTGGGTGGGGGAATTAATATCACCATGTAGATTCATATTTATTTGTTTTGAAACATACAACCTTTGAATTTGGTGAAGGTCCAATAAAAAAATCTTCTTCAATTTTCTGCATGCATCTGGTATATCCTAGTTTTTATAAAGTTCAGAATCTTATTTATCTTCTTTCAGGCTGTTACTTATTGATGCTGAAAATGCTTTATCTCAATTTGGGTTAATAATCTGCAGTAGAATAATATTTTGAAAAGAAAATCTGGAGGTACCCAAACTATGTTCTTGGATTTATATTTTTCCCATTACTAAATTTAGATGAACTTTAAATGTTCCAAACAAAGAAAGGTAAAATTTAGGTATAGAAGCAGCAAGTATTTACATATGATGAATCAATATAAATTAAATGGAAAAGTCAACTAAAGGGTTTTTGTTTTTATAGTAATAAATCAATTTTATTTAAATGTGCATTTAGAAAACACACGTCCTTTTATGCACAACCCTAATTAGTACCACCAAATTATTTTCAGTGTCAGTAATTGAGATATGATGAGTAGACATAATTGACCAGGAAATAGTGGTTAGGTGTAGATGGGGGAAATGGGGAACCTTGCTATAAGAAAATAGGTACACTAGAGGACCCTTAACAGAATCTTAACAGGTATATTTTCAAACATAAGAGAGAACTTCAATGAATTCAGAACCAAAAAAAATTAAAAACTCTTTAACTCTTCACTTTTTAACCCAACTTTTTTTAAAAAATGACTATATTAATACCTGCTCTATACTGTCAGGGAGCCCACATCTTAAAAATGCTTTAGAAGAAGAAGAGGAGGAGAAGAAGAGATTGGATTTATACCCCGCCATTCACTCGGAGTCTCAGAGCAGCTTACAAACTCCCTTCCCCTCCCCACAACAGATACCCTGTGAGGTAGGTGGGGCTGAGAGAGCTTTGAGAGAACTGTGACTGGCCCAAGGTCACCCAGCTGACTTCATGTGAAGGAGTGGAGAATTAAACCCGGTTCTGCAGATTAGAGTCTGCTGCTCTTTACCACTACACCAAGCTGGCTACGCTCTTAACCACTACACCAAACTCATTCTGAAAACTGGGAAGAAGGCCTTTACAGTAATTATTAGGTAACTGAAAATTGATTTCTTAATGGGTATTTGATAGGGATGGGCATGAATAGGGAAAATGTGGTTTGGTTCGTTGCTCATGGCATGCAGTTTGCAAACCATGGCTCAGGAACTTCACTTGGGCAGACCTGCCCCTCAACCAGACACTAGAATCAAGTCAAGCATCCCCCCCCCACGTTCGCAGCCTCCCCCCCAAGATTCCAAAGGCAGGTTCTAAAGGACAGAAAGGCAGACATCCCCAGAGTTTTGACAGGGGCTTTCCAAAGTTACCTCACAACAGCTTGGCCTGCGCCCCAGCCCCACCAGACCAGTGGAAATTGGAGTTTTCCGTTTTAAGTGATGCATCGACAGAAAAGCAGACATGACAATAGGCTTCCAACAGGGGCTCCCCAAAGTAACCCCATGATAGTTTGGCAGGCATACTAGCCCCACCAGACAAGCAAAGGAAGTGTGCCCAGTGCCTACAACTCTCGCAGCCCCCCAAGGGCTGACACACTGCAGCAAATTCTTCTTCTCTGCACAGGAAACACCTGTTGGGCTGGCTGGGCCCACAATTCTCCAAAGGCAGATTTGGCAGCACAGAAAGACAGACATGACAGGAGACTTCCAACAGAGGCTACCCAAAGTTACCCCACAACAGCTTGGCGGGCATGCCAGCCCCACCAGACCAGTGTAAATCAGTTTTCCATTTAAAGTGATTAGTGATACAAACTGTCTTGCATAATATACAGTTTCTTGCCCAACTAAGTGTTTATGGATTGAAGTGTTGACTTATGTTCATATACTGAAATAATGCATGGGGACTATTTCAAGTATATTCCGAAGTAGTAGTTGTGCCTCTAGGGCTGCTTCCATAATGGATGTTAGGACTGGCTCTGTGACAACCTCCTATTGGGGAGGACTAGGTTTGTCTTTAAATTATACTGGGTGTTTATAAAATAGGTAGTTCCAGCTGCCACCAGGAATTTTCTAAATTCCAAATCCACTCTCAGCTTCTTATGTTGGTATCGTGACCCAGGGTCTAGGCTTTCAAGGGTCTCTGTGGTCCTGAGGAATAATTGATATGACTTCTGGGATTAACTTAAATAAGAGAGGATTTATTGAAAGGGGAACAAAATAAGAGGTTGGTTATTATGTAACTGGTTGGGAATAAGGTTCCTGTAAATGAGCGTGTCAACTGTATCACTTTAATACACATATACTGATCCTTCTCGGATCCCACACAGATTCTTTCACCTCTCTCACTGACTGAATTTCCACTGAACAACTTCAACTGCTTTTTTTTCAACTGTCTCTCCTAACTCTGACTTTCATACTTAACTTTCATAACTGACCAACTGACACTCACACAGATCCACTTTAAACTCTCCTCCCAGACTCTCTCATCCTCCAATCACAGCACACTTGTCTCTCTCAATCACTCTACTCTGCATTCACTGCACCACAACCAAACATTTAAAGAGACACACACACTTTTAAAACAAGGAATCGTTACAGGCTCCTCTACAATCTCTCAAAGTTGGGGGTGGATTACATTTCTGGGGTCCCGGATACAGACCCACCAAAAAGGTCTCCTACATTTATATCCTCCCACCCCTCCTGAATGTGAACACTTCTGTGTGCTGTGAGGGTGAAAGTGGGTGCAACCGTGTGAAGGATGCTCGTTGTAGGGGGAAGAAGTCCTCCACCTTCTGTGTACCACAGGTTGCCGCCCTTGGGCATTAAACCCATCCTGCCTGGCCCTAGCAGGGCATCACCAGGGTCTCAGAGCTTCCAGCCCCTGATTTATTCCTGGTCCTGGGGCTCTCTTTAGAGGCAAAAGAGTTGTTAGCAGCACTGCCCAGAGACACCAGCAGTTGCAACCACTCTCTGGAGAAGAAGATTCTGACAGCAGTGATTCAGAGGGTGGGGGAGAAGCATCCTCCCCTTCCACATCCCAACTCCCTGATGCTGCTCCTGCCTTGAGTACACCCCTTGAGTGGCCCCTCCCAGCCCAGTGGCAGAAAGCCAGTGTGCCTCCCACCTACTCCAATCCTGGGGCCATAGTTTGGAAACATTTCCTCATCTGCTCTGTGTGGCAGAGTGCCAGGTATTAGTAGTGAACTGGGTTGACAGTAGTGAACCCAGAGGTCAGCAGAAGCGGAGATGCCAGTCATACAATGGCGGAGGATTTAGCAGAGGTGATGGTGAGGGAGTACCTTGCCATGTCCCCTGAAACCATTAACATTGATCCCCTGGAGTACTAGTCATGCAAGGTTGTCATCTTGCCCAACCTCTCTTGTGTGACCATGAGCCCTGAATCCACCTAACACACAAATCCCAGCAGAGGAGAACCAAGGCACCCAGTAGCTAAGCCACACAGAGTGGCAAAGAGCTATGACTCCACCTAACACTAAAACCCCAGCAGGGAGACCAGTTCGCAATTGGGAGGGTATAAAACATGGGTCCTCACTCAGCCAAGGCACCCAGTAGCTAAGCCCCACTACTCAATGTGAGCAGAGTGACATGATGACAAAGAGCCCTGAGTCCACCTAACACCCAAACTCCAGTGGAATCAAAATGAAAATGTGGGTCCTTACTCAGCCAAGGCACCCAGTAGCTAAGCCCCTCTGCTCAGCATAAGCAGGGGGGGGGCCTCAGAGAGCCCTGAGTCCAATTAACACCCAAACCCCAGCAGGGAAGAGTTCACAATCAGGAGGGAATAAATGAATGAGTTCTGCTAGTTGACTTTTAACTAGTTCCCTGCCTCTCTGCAAGCAGCCAACAAACAAAAGGGTTATATATAGCTTTCTGATCCCATAGAGCAGAATGGGAACTCTAGTATTGGTAACCAGCAGTGCCCGTTAGGGCTGCCAAGTGGGGGGGGCTGGTAAACCCCCGCTTCGGAGGACCGATTTCTGCCGCCACGGAATCGGGCCCCCGGGGGAAACTCCGCCCCGACGTGCGCATCACCTGGAAGTGACGCAGGCACGCTGGGCATGCTGGGGGCAGGGCCACAGCCATACAAGGGAAAACCCTATGGCCGTGGCCCTGCCCCCAGCATGCTCAGCGTGCCTGCGTCACTTCCGGGTGACGCGCGCGCACACACCCGAGGCCGGCCAGGAGCCCCCCGCTCCTGGCGAAGAATCACTTGGCAACCCTAGTGCCTGTTACCACCCCATTCCCTTGGAGTTTTGTAAACAGTTTAATTGAGCAGACAGTCTGTCTGGAAATGTATCCATTCATGAACCATCATTAACAGCACCAAAGTTCTTGAAATGTTTGTGCCGGCCCTTCCATGAATGTCGCTTTGCAAACCATGAACCAGCCAAAATTCATGACAAACTAAAGATGTCACAAGCCAATGTTGAGACAGAATGTGCACAAACCCAGCATACTGCTTGACTTCCATGTTCACCTCACTCCTTCCCTCCTCCCTTCCTTCACTGAGAACCCCAGTTACAAACTAAATCCATTAATCCAAGCTATGTGAATGCAGGTGCATAGATTAAATGAAGCTGGTTTTCTCCACAGACCTGAAAATTCTAAGCCTAGAGTAAACCCTAGTTTAATACTGTGGTTTGTATATGGTGGGGCGCTAACTCTGGGTAGCTTGCACTTTCATCTGTGCATCGTAGGTAATCAGAATTATTTTCTAACTGCCTACAATGGTGTAACGATTAGATTGTTGTACTA